TTTTGGCTGCTATTATTGTTTATGTTTCCACATTTCTGAAATGCTCTGATGTGTCAGGTTTTCTTAATTTTTTTATATGATAGATTTTTCTATCAAATGTATGTGTTGTATTAGCAGTATTTGACGCAGCATTCAAATGCGAAATAATTGGGACTGAGATTGATACTTGGGTCCCTTTTGTTTTATCGTGGTTTTTATTCTTTCCTTCTTCCTTTTACTTTTCCTTTTTTTTATAGACTATTTGTGACGTGTGTTGACAAAATGAGTTGTTTCTCGGATTTGAGCCCTGTGGAAATAGATACATCACCCTTATAGGTTAAGCTTTTACAATTTATAAGTATGAAATAATGAGACTTATAATGTTATACTTAAAGAATATTGCATCAATAGAAAATCAATTAATTTGACTCTGGGGTTGATTTTTGGCCAATATCTCCATATATGGATTGGGAGAAGTAACTCATTTTGTCAGCACCCCTCACATTTGTTTTGCTAGATGTTGGTTTTTGTGAAGGTATTTGAGATCACTTATTTTTTCTTCTTCTTTTCTCTGCTGCAGTCGTACACCAACCACCCGGACTATGAGATGTGTTAAGATAACTTATTTTTTCTTCTTCTTTTCTCTGCTGCAGTCCTACACCAACCACCCGGACTATGAGGAGATGTGTATCCACACCATGCAGCTGAGTACAAGGTTTTTGTTCAACACTTACCTACGCACCAGGCTGAAAACACAGTAAGTGTTTCCTTTTCTTATCCCTTCTATCCTGGGAATATTTCTGACCGTCTTTCTCTCCACCCTCCTCACCCCCTCTATCGCCTCAGCAGTTCATTTATTCACACACACACACACACACGCACAAGGCATACACACATGTATGCAGATACACACATTCACACACACCTGGGCTTATCCACAAGCACACTCTCTTACATGCACCCACACTAAAACACACAGACATACATACACACACATACACACACACACTCTTTTTCTCTTGCTTTCTCTCTCTCCCATGGACTCGCATAAACATACACCCATACACTCAGGCATGCACATGCCCACACCGACACAAACACACACATTCACACACACACACACATGTATTCACTAACAGTATTCTTCATCATGTGTGTGTGTGAGAG